AAAGACTGTATTTTGATTAACGAAAAATATTAATGGTCTAAGTATGGATTTGTGTGGTCTAATGGTGTGATTAATGATAGACAAATAGGTGGGTAAAAGTTGACCAGGGGAAAAAAGAAAAAAGGAAAAACGGTCAATGTCTTGGATTTTGCATCTTTGTTAGAAAATTGCAGAAAATCTTTAATACACTTCTTACCATATGCAAATATCGGAATTTGCACAAAGTTTAGAAGGATGATTATTTATGTACGGTTGACCAAATACTTTCTGTTTTATAGTATTAATTGTTAATTCAGAATTATCATTTGTTTTAAAAAATGTATTTTTAATATATATTTTTCATATGATTTTTTTTTTTTTTGGAACTTAGATGTTTTAAGGGTTCATTTGTGAAATGACCAAAATTTTTTAATAATTAAGATACTAACTAAAATTGTCCTATATGACACAATCATAGCAACTGAATTTAGGATCATTGGTTAATTTTATAATTATAAAATTTTTGTTGGTTATTCATACTAATTTCTCGTGTTTTAATTTTAATCCAAAATTATTTAGTTTTTCTTCACCATCTACTTTATTAATTTAGACTTGGGCTAAAAAAAAATGTCTCTTAATCTCTTATCACATAATTGAACTAAATTTTCTAAAATCTAGTTTTGAAAGACTGAATTTCTCGAATTCAATTATACATACGAAATTTTAATTGGTTAAGTCCATTAGACTTTTACAAACTAATTATTTATATTTTTATCTGTGTGGTCATTTTATTATATGGCTTAATTATTGTTAGATGATAAATGAAATTGTAACTGAAGAAAACAAATTTATCTCCAAAACCTTTGTTAAAAATAGATGGATAATTATTGTGAGTAAGAGGTGTCAACTTGACCACCGTCACCTTTTAATAGTCTCACTTCAACTCGTACAAAATTTTAGTTACCGTTGGTAGTTAATTGTTTAGATTCACCTTACCTACTACTACAGTGCACGACGCCGTTTTTGACGAGAATCTCTTTCGTAGATCTGCACCGTACGAAACCACGTGCATTGCGCAACCCATGTTCTCAATGAACGGCTCTTAATACACTTTAAAGTTCAGATTAAACTAAAGTAATTATTTAGTGACAAAAAAATAAATTAATGAGTTAAAAAAGAATGTAAAGGTGATTAACACTTAACCTCTAAGCAGAGGCAGGGGACAATGATCACATGGGTCCATTAGCTCGTCTCTTCTGGAACTTCATTACATTTGTTTAATTGTATAAACTATTAAAACAATCAGTCGATAATCAGAGATCAAATGACGTCTAATTGGCGCATTAGCGTTAGGTGAAATCCATATTAATAGTATTTCTCTAATGTAATTAAGTTTATTTAGTCGATATGTAAATTATTTAAATTTAGCGGAATATTCCAAAATACCACAACAAAAGCTTCAGTTTCCAAAAATCTACACCTTTCTTAGAAAATCTTCCAAAATATATAAGAAATCATTTCTAAATATGTAAAAATGCTTTATAAAATATTTTCTGGTATCTTTAGAAAAAAGGAAAAAGAATTTCCTTTAATTTTTAATTCTGCACCATGTATTGAGGATTCTTTCTTTGCCAAGAATTGTATTGCTATTATTTTTTATTAATTTCAATTTTAAGCGTGGTTGCTTTTACAATGACGTCCCGGTTTACGTATCAAGTATTAACATTTAACTATGAAAATATATATAGTTTATTATCTGAAAAGATAATTATAGTCCCATTTATTTTCTGAAAAGCTTTATTTTCTGAAATGCAAAGTTAGGTTGGAAGGGGGCATCAAAATATGGTATAGTCCCATTTAGGTTTCTTTTGGTTTCCAAATGAGTTTCTATAATTATTTATCAAAATACAACCAGCTTTGATGCGGTTTTGGGTTTTTTTGGCTAGATCAAACCTAGCTCTTTGCTCTCTTAAAACAAACTCCGTATCGGTGCGGATTTGGATTAGATCTTCAAATGAGATGCAAGGTACTATTAGGTTCACATATAATAACCATGAATATGTGTAGATTTAGCTTTTTCTTCAATTTAATATTTGGATTGACCGAAGAGAAAATTACATAGCAAATATATATATGTGTACCCTTTAAGTGATTCTAAACCGTTTTTCGAAGAAAACCTACCAAATTACCTGGAGAGTAAGACGATTTTTTTAACACAAAATTAATCTAGTGTATATAAATAAATATACAAAAATGGGCTGCTTAATGAAAGGTTGGATACAACTTTGAGAAAGAATATAGAATAGTGGAAAGATGAGGAGAAAAGTAACTGTTAATGAATAAGAAAACAAAGTCACTGCATGCAACCACATCCCATAGGTCAGACCTTAAATTGGACCATTCCCCTTTTTTTTTTTTTCTCAATTAGTTTAAATTGGTAAGAAAGAGATGTCAAATAGAATTTAATTTCACTTTAATGTGAGGTATATTAATATATAAATATCTCAATGATGTAATTGATGAGGAATATTCCCAAACAACGATTGTTTTATATTCATTGAACCTCTTTATAAAAGCTTAATCATGTAATGGACAATATCAAATGAGGTCACTTAACTTATGATTATTGAATTTAATTATATTATAAATGACTTATAAGTCAGCATTTTCGGCAAATTTCTCAATTAATAATTCCTTTCGAAAGCTGTTTCTATTTTTCCTGTCTCGGACCAAAATGAATAACTATATATCAGCATATTTATAATATATGCAAGAGTAGACATTTATGTCTATAACATGGTCATAAAACTAAATAGAGTGATTAAAATTTATCATAACGAGCTTCTAAACTATTTACAAACGGTTACACAATTGCGTTTAAAATTTAACTAGTGAAATTTATGGAATATCAAAAAATAAAAATGCAAAAACAGAATGGAGTATTAATGTAATTTTTAATTTTCTCGTAATATGAATAATTTCAAATGAGATAACATTATTAATTTCAGATATAAAAATCGATATAGCAAATTAAAAATTTGGAGACAATTGAAGATTGTTAGTTTTTACGATTAAGTTGGAAACCTATTTTTTTTTTACAGAAACAGAAAAGACAAACCAAGTCTTGAAGAGTAATACAAATTGCATTATTTAAAACTAATCGAATTGTTCTGATGATATTAGTAGTGACTTTGTAGATTAAAATAGAAGTCCGTTTTATTTTCCTCTTACTAAAATATTCGAATAACACCACCAAAAAAAAAAACGAAGAGAGAGCTGCTACTATATATTGACTACTACTTCACCACTAAGCAAAGCCTCCTTCAAAGAAGCAAAATGGCTTTATTCTACTTCTGTTCAAGAAGATTTTGTAAATCATTTACAGGTCATGTGCTTCTGTTAAAAGTGATTTGATTCTCTGCATCTTT